TTACGCGTGCAAAAAAATGATTAACATTGTATGTTAGTTTTCTGAGAACGGAGCTGGTTTTCCAAAGATCTTCTGAAAACCCGATCTTTGAAATTTTTCAAAAGTTGGCAAATACGTTATATAGCTACTTTCGACTAAATGTAATAATGAGTTCCTTTTGTAAGCGACGTAAGAAGTTCCCTTCTCGTTGGTTCTTACGTTTCTTCGTTCTAAAGGTATAACTACTGCTACATTCATTACGTGTTACGTGTCTTATATACGTTAAGCTTTTTTCTCTCTCTTCCCTGCCGTATATTGATACACTCGTTATTCGAATATTCTTTACTCCTATATAAATGAAACATAGTTTACTATAGTGAATAATCTTCGTTCCGTTCTTTCGAAGCTTACGTATTATAGCGCATCTCTAAGGAAACTCCTAAAAAGCTTTCGTCAAAATTGATACCACTTTTCTCAACCTACAAAACTTAGTGTTATTGCACAGCTTGCCTTAAAACGAATCGAGAAACAACCACAACTGACCTCCGTTTGCGCAGCTCTTTAACTTCTTGGAAAAAAAGACCCAAATCTTTTTTTTGATTTTGCTGTGGGCATCATAAAATACAGCCGATCCATGTATGCGGTGCCTAAGCATAAAAATTAATCTAATATCGCCCGATTCATCTAGATTACTAAATTTTTACTCGATTGCAACTATTTGGCAATGACAGCCGAAATCAAGTAATCGAGCGATTGTCAGATTTCTTGTAGTTGCAACTATCGATTTATCGCCCGATAATCGATCGATTTAACTACTGCCAGTTGTACATGCAGACACATCTGGTTAAAAGTCTTGGTTTCAACTTTGTAATGTAGATAACAACTAGACGTATCGTTCGATTACAGATCAGATATATCTAGATTTTCCCATAGGAGATTTTTATCTAGGATACTTCTTAGCAAAGTCAGTTTCCGCTAAGATCTGAGAGAACGGTGGTATAGTACCTATAATTCTTATGCAGGATCCCATCAGATACAAGGGTGCGATAAATAACAGGTCATATCCATGAGGACTTTTTAATCAACTCTCGGTCAACATAACTTGATCTTAGTGGAAAAGATCAACAATATCAAGATAAACGTAAGGGTTTAAAGTTAGTTACAAGCTATTCGAAAAACCAGAATTTATACACATCCTCCACTTTAATCATCCTTCCTTTTTCTGGAAATTTTCCAAGTTGTTTTTCTAACTTCCATCATCTTACGACTCGTAGGAAGTAGCCTGTAGTATTGTGGTGCAGTAGATACTTGGCTCCAGCTTCCGGTATCCATATCTCCGAGTGATGGACAATATTGAAAAATGCCTCGATTATATTGAGTCATATCGCTGTAATAGATGATATCGTGATATGTAGAAGTCATAGAAACTATTGTAGTCTGGTCGGGTTCATTCTTTTACTCATCTCAAAAAAAATTTAAATCATCTCAAGACAAAATGAGTATTGAGACATGTGTCGGAATGACACCCTGTAACAGGTGCTATAGCGATAAAAAGTTAGTCCGATGAATCGATGACTTATGTATTAGGGTGTTTGCGTGAGTCATCGATTTATCGGGGGATCTCTTAATAACAAAGCTAGTGGTTCATGTTGAACGATAATACTTATGGCGACCCATCGGTGTGTCGTAACGGGTACGATAACTTTTTATAGCGATTAAGACGCTATTTTTTATTGGAAAAGTCTTAATGGGTATTCACTTCCATACTGATAACACAGGACGATCTCTAATTTCTCTGCGAAGTATTAATAGGAAGCAGCCAGAGTTCCATACGAAGTGGACTGCCTTCATGGTACAGTCCTAGACTAAAATATGTTTGAATCCATGGAGTTGAGCTGAACTGAAAACTTAAGTACGCAAGGAGTTGACGTCTCACTAATATCTGTTTGTATTTTTACTAACAGATGGCCGTTCATACGATCCTGGAAATGCTTAAACAACATTACAAGTCAAATATCACGATTATAAGCGATTGCTGGGGTCATTGTTGTGCAGCACACCCATCCGAAAAAGATATAAAGAACCATCGATGCGGTCACAGACTGAATTATCTAGATCAGAACCTCACTTCAGTTCATTATAATTCGATTTCAATGCAACCGTAACATCGAGTGAATCAGCCCAAGTTTTCAAGACCTAAAAGATTAAGATGATCCAGTAAATTATGTAGTGCAACTTCTTGAATGCAACATAAGGTGTAGGGCTGGCTGTACTCGGTGTTACTTTACCAAGTAAAGTAACAAGAATTTGTTACTTGTTAGTAGTAATTAGTAACGACAGACGCTAGTTTGTTACTTTGTGACTGATAATAAGTAACGCAATTGTTACTTTTGGTAAAGTAACAAAGAACAAGTTCTTTTTTTGTTTGCTCAGAAAAACCTTTTTGAAAAAGGTTTGAGGGCAAGGGCGAGGATGAAATACATGCTAAAAGATGGTGGCACGTCTGATAAAGAAGTATCTGAAATATTTGTTTGTGTAGCTAACAGATATTTCAGACACTTCTTTATCAAACGTTCCGCCACCTTTTAGCAGGTACTTCACCCTTGCCCTCAAACCTTTTCAAAAAAGTTTTTCTCAGCAAACAAAAAAAGAACTTGTTCTTTGTTACTTTACAAAAAGTAACAAAGTAATAAATCTTTGTAACTTTGTTACTAGTAAAAAGTAAAAACTGCGTTACTTGCTACTAGTAACAAAGTAACAAACTAGAGTCTGTTGTTACTAATTACTAGTAACAACAAGTAACAAAATTGTTACTTTTTGCCAGTAACAGTAACGGTAAACAGCCAGCCCGAATAAGGTGTCGGAAATTCAAAACTTGAACAGATTTTTTTTTTCTCTTTTCACCACAGTTAAATAGAGCTCATCGAGTTACGTAGAACAGACTTTTTGTATTTTTACATTTTTACATTTTGTATTTTTTTTCTCTTTTTTGGATAACCAAATTCAAATATATTCATTTTTTGAAAAGGCGCAAAAATCAGTGAATTTTTCCAAAAAAAACAAAATTCGCCCTTTATTATTCAATGTTTAAAATTCCGAATCTATTATTTTGTAATTCAGCATGCAAAATTATGTTTAAACCCCGATTTTTGGCATTTTTAAACCCAAAAATATTTTTGAAATTAGCCAATCACGCACAGAATCGAAAAAATGCGCCTCTACACCTTGTAAACCTATGTACTCCTACAGATTGGAAGATAAAACAGTTGTTTACCTCAGTTGAATTGTCATATATGTGAGAAATCAGTTGCGAATGGGTTTTGGAATATATCGTTTCGTTGTTGGGAAAATTCATTTTTTTGAAATAGGCAGCAAAAACCAAGGAAATGCACTCGTATTTAACAGTTTTCGCTGTCAAACTTCCACTTTTTTGCACGAACGAATCTGATATTTGGTGTCAGCATCAAAGACTGATGTACGTTTTAGGCTTTGATTTTTTGATTAAGTGTCATTTCAAATTCCGCATCTTTCTGGAAAGTCAAGAATTCAACCCTATATGGTCCGAAATACACAGTGTAGGGACTGCGGCTGTTCCTCGTCATATGAGTCTGTTTGTTTTCATCATTTTAATGAACAAAGTTAGAAAGCATTTACAAATGTCAGTAAAAAACCGAAAACTATTTCTAGGACGTAACTATTTCTTTCAATATAGATCAGCCGGTTTAGTGACAAGACAATAGTTATTTTTCTCCTTCTTTTTACTGTTGTTATTTTACTATATATAGACGAGCGATGGGTTTATCACAGTCTTTCTCTATTACTAATCGTTCCTTCACTTATGGTGGCTGCTCACTCGAAATAACGTAATCAGGTAAAGTCTCTATCTTATTCTTTCGTCTATTTTCGCTCTTTTCTTTTTATACATAGTTCTGATAATTTTACCTGAGAAGAACAAAATAGTTAAAACACAATCGAACGTTTAAAGTTGAACAAAGGCAATTATCAAGGAAAAATATTAGTCAGCCATTGGCCTAATTGCTCCGGCCTAATAGCTCACGCACGTGCATTAAAATGTCTACTATTTAGGTTCAGATTTGAAATAAATTATTGACATTGTGCAAGAAGCGCTATTCAGTTTCGAGCGTATAAATTTCATTTTAAGAGCGAACATACAAAATATGTGCGTGTATCGAACATTTTTTTCTATTCTCTTTCTTTCTCTGTGTCATACAACGTCATTGTCAAAACAAACGTTAGAAAAAGTGGCAGCGGTAGTGTTATATCGTCAGAATGAAATTTTCACTCCGGGAAAATACCACCTATGACACATCATAGACAATGTTTATATAATTGCGCGTCATCGTCATTCAAATTTATTCAATGCACGAGACTATTTCTTTAGATATACTTTACGCTAACGAAAGAGTTCCTGACGAACTCTATACACTTGTTCAGAATGGTTTATCATCTCAGCTGGATGTTCGATTAAGTGAGCTTTCAAATCCAATTGAATATTTGACGGCATTGAGTTGGCATGGTCAACAACGATTAAGTTTATTGATGGTAGCAGCTCTCAATGGCTTCAACGAAATCGTTCGCGTTCTTTTTGCTCACTGTGATCCTAAGCAACAAGTTGAACTCAAAGGAAGAATGGTCATCTCCGATGAAGAGCATATTGATGGCGCAACAGCACTTTACTGCGCATGTTATCGGACGCATTTTACTGTCGCTCAAACTCTGCTCGAACTCGGCCACGCTAATGTCAATCAAAGCACACATAAAGACTCCACATATCCGCTACTTATTCATGCTAGTATGAGGAATCGCCTTGATATAGTTCATTTTCTCGTCGAAAATGGCTATTCGGATGTTAATGAAACCAAATCTGATGATCGTGATAAATGTACTGCTCTAATATGGGCTGCATTTCGAGGTCACTCTATGCTCGTCAAGTATTTGATTGAAAAAGGTGCTGATATGAATTACTCTTGTGACAATACTGATCTCATTGCACCAACACCACTCACATGTGCCACTTTACGCGGTCATGCGGAATCAGTTCGAGTGCTGTACGATGCAGGTGCGAACACCAATGTCAAAGACAAATATGGCAATACCTTGCTCAAGATGGCTGCCAAGAATAAAGCTGTTTCTGTTATTAATTTATTTCTCGAACGATCTATTAATACTGTGGAAGATCTCGAACTTGTTGCTTGTTCGTTTATCAATATTTCATCTTCAATGGTACAAATGCACGGAGGATTAGAACTTTTGCGTGTTGCCATACAACATCGTGAGTCAATGGATATCCCAAAAGTTTGCATACCATCAGTCGTTGCCTATGATTTTGAACAAGAATGTCAAACGGTCGATGAACTCGATTCTATTAAAGATAATCGTGATCGAATGTTAATTGAAATGTTACTCGTTCGAGAACGTATTCTTCTGCCTCCCAAAGACGAAACACTAATGAGACCATTGCTAGATTATGGTGATGTGCTAGTAAATAGAGGAGAATTTGACAAATGCCTCTATTTGTGGGTTCATGCTTTTTATCTTTATCAACAAATGGAACTGGACACTATTCTTCATCGATTTGTCTGGCTTTTCTGCAAGATGATGACAGCAAATCAAACAATACCTGCCAAGCGTTTCGTACAAGTATGCCGTCTTACTTTTGAACCGTCACAGAATAAATACAATGACGATAATATTGGCAATGAGCTCTGCCTCGTTGTCCTTGCAGCTGAGGTAAAATGATCTTCATATTTCTATATTTTTTTCCAATTTGCTCTCGTCACTACTCATTTACTTAGATTCTCGAACAACAGGGAATAACTAGAGAAGAACAAAGTTCCATTTGCTGTTGGATTAATGATTTGTGTCGACAACGAAGAAGAACTTTAGATGGACAAACTTTACTTCATCTTTGTGTCAATGAACAAACTAATAAAAGACTAGAATGGCGTCGCAGGGATACTATTTCATTTCTAAAGTATGTCACTTTGGTTCGCTCTCACTAAGACTAAATAATTACGAGTGTCACCTTGTTCAGTTATTTTCGAACGCATCTTAATAGATAGTCACCTACTTTCAGAATTAGACTAGATAAAAACGGAAAAAAGGACTTGTGATATTCGCCTGATGTTCGTCTTTGTCAAAAAATAGTTTTGAAATTTATTATTTTCTTTGATTCATTACAGATTCCCCAATGCGTCTGGACTTCGACTGCTACTTGCTTGCGGATATCGTTGGCTCGATTTGGATGTGGTCGAATGGTTAGATGGCAATACACCACTTCATTTAATATGTTGTGGATCAGAAGATCAAGAAATCATCGAACTACTCGTCAATGCTAGGGTGCATATCGACTGCGTGAATGCATATAGAAAAACTCCTGTGGACTATGTAGAAAATGAAATGACAAGAGCTTTTCTCATGTCAAAACTGACTCCACCTCATCTCAAATGTTTATGTGCGCGTGTCATTGCTAACAAACGATTGGATACCAGTATTCTGGGACCACCATCGTCCGTTATAAATGCGTTTATTTCCTTGCATGGCGGCTTACTACGTGAGACTGATAATGATTGAAAAAAAAAGTAAAGTTTTTAAGATAATTTTTGCTCGAAAAAACATGATCGGTTAGACAAATCAACATATATTTGGTACGAGGAACAACAAAATTTCAGCAACATGAGCATGAGAAAGAATGTGCTGTAAAAGATTTTCAGAAGAGAAACAGAATAAGTCACAAAATAACTGAACACAAACATTTTTTAGAGTACGTTTCTGAGAGCCTTCGACATCGGCACTAGAACGACATCCCAAATCAGATGATTTCTTCAGATGTTTTAGAGAGCAGCTAATTTAATGTTTGCTTCAGTTTTCCGACTGCTTTTTTAAAAACAATTTCGTGTTTTTTTCCAAAAAACTGTCGGTTGACTTGCAAGACTAGGAATTTCGATTTCTGATGTTCTTAGGCTGTCGATTATTCTGCTACCGAATGTAAAAGCTGATTCTTTTATCAAGTAAATGAGCGGCGCTATCTGATCACCGAAGAGGCGCTTCTCTTTTCCTAACAAAAGTGAGCGCAATGTTGATAGTACGCCTATCAATGCATACTATCTGGCTAGGCCGAGTGAGTTTATCCAAAAAAAAAAATCGTCGGTAGTTGCACGAAAATAGTAGGAAAAAGTTGTATGGTGTCACTCGTTAACAACGGGGAGTGTCCAAGGGAAAAGTATTAGCATTCTACATATCGAATGGTTTCATGAATATCATGAATGATATCTCAGATTCTGAAAGAGGAGACTTCAGCGCTTATATCTAAAACAACACTTCATTATTAACCTTTTTCTCGAAAAAACGGATTTCGTGACGATGTCTTGCTTAATGTTCATTGATTTTAATCAGAAATGATGTGCACCGATTGTAATTAGAGCATAATCTATTTCAATACCAGCATTTGCTTGAATTGATATAATAGAATCAAAACCTTAACCAAATTTATAGAGAAAAAAAGATATCAATTGTTTGAACACACCCGGCCGTCGATGAAAGTGAACTGGAATTGCTAAAAACCAGCGACGGACAACTTCGCTTTAGAGTTGATACCTTTTTAAAGTGGACTGGGAATGGCAGAAGACCAGAGTTGCTAAAATTAATGATTTTTTGAATCTGCATTCAAAAAACTCAACATTTCGTTTATTTTTTAGTACTTATTTTTTCCCATAGTCATTTTGCGGAGATGTGGGAGAGTTTGACGGCAAACTGGATTTCATCCTTCATGGCTCCCTGACTGTTTCAGGTGCCTGTCACTTTTTTTTTATATATATTTTTTGTATATTTTAAATATACATGTTTATTCAAGGAAAGGAGCAAAGCTATTTATATCCCCTTATTACTGAGGACGATGCGTGGACACTAGACGTGACAGTCAATCATCCAATAATATTCTTTTTAGTCATATCTCGCTATATTCATGTCTGAAGTTGAGAAGGATGATAGCCTTCAGTTCACGGAAGAGCCGCATCACAAAGAGAAGAATTTAAAACAGCAAACAGTCGAAGTGCTCGCTTTCTTCAAAGAAAATGACAACGAAAAACACAAACACTTGCGTGTGACAAAAATAATTACCTGAAACGACGGAAACTAAAATAAATTATGTGCAAGATGTATGATACGTCTTACGCCACTTAAATTGACAGAAGAACAAAAAAGTAAGGTTCGAGCGAGGTTCGAACTCGCGGCCTTCTGCGTGTAAAGCAGACGTGATAACCGCTACACCACCGAACCGAAAGTACAGGTCGCCATAACCATATTCCAGGTGAAACTGGTACCAAGCTCCAGCAGCCTATACACAGATTGACTTTCATTTTAAATCTCCATTCTTTCATTTATTGTTTTGTTGTGGTGGTGACAACATGATCTTATACATGTTACGGGATACCCTTGGATGTTTCTTACTCAAGTTAATTACGACGCACTGAAACATCGTCCACTTTCGCCAGAAATTTTGCGATAGCTATGGCATGATATCTTGAAACAAAAATCTTTTATCTTGTTCCTGATCTTTTATTTGAACGCGTTTAGATACCGTGTACGTATCTCGTTTTCTGTTCTATATTGGAACTTGCCATACATGGTGTTTTTGTAAGCATGAACTATTCTGTTTTTTCTAAAAACAGAAAAAAATCCCATAGTACTCTTCACATTTTGTTTTCACTCCAGGTAAGTAATTATCAAAAATTTTTTGATAATCTTTCCATTAATCGACAGGAAAATGTTCTCTCTAATCTTAAGGACTTTTTTATCATTAAAAATATCTGAACTTTAAGGAATATATGCAGGTTTTTCAAAGCGTGAGTGGCTTTCTCCAAATCGACTTTATTTTCAGTCCACGAAGGA